GTGCCCTGTGCTCCTGGTGCCACCACAGCTGGGCCTGCCCGTGGCTCCAGGGCCAGGCCAGCTCCTCATGGATCCCTGGATCCGTGTCCTGTCCAAACTGCTGCCCGAAAAATTGTATGGGAACAGGATGGGGCTGCCCTGCTGCCCGAAAAATTGTATGGGAACAGGATGGGGCTGCCCTGCTACCCAAAAAATTGTGGGAACAGGATGGGGCTGCCCTGCTACCTAAAAATTTTATGGGCACAGGATGGGGCTGCCCTGCTACCTAAAAATTTTATGGGAACGGGATGGGGCTGCCCTGCTGCCCAAAAAATTGTGGGAACAGGATGGGGCTGCCCTGCTGCCCAAAAATGTTTTATGGGCACGGGATGGGGCTGCCCTGCTACCCAAAAATTTTATAGGAACAAGATGGGGCTGCCCTGCTGCCCAAAAATTTTATGGGAACGGGATGGGGCTGCCCTGCTGCCCAAAAATTTTATGGGCACGGGATGGGGCTGCCCTGCTGCCAGAACAGCCCAAGGGATGGGGAGGGGTGGGACATGGGCAGGGAGCTCCGGCTGCACAAACGTCCCCAGTTCCCTGTGGGAATCCCATCGCTGACATCCCCCCAGTTCCCAGAATCGCAGAGGGACCTCGGGACATCCCCCAGCCCAGGCTGGAGCAGGGAATGTGGCCGGGGAGGGGTTGGGGTCTCTCCAGAGGGGGGAACCCAGAGCTGCTCTGGGCAGGTTCAGGGCTCTGCCACCTCCAGGGCAAGAAATTCCTGCAGTACCGAGGTGGGAACTCGTGGTTGTTTATTCCTAAATCCTAATTCCTAAATGCCATGCTGGGACCTGTCCCCGACCCTGCTGCTGTGGGACAGAGGGGTCACAGAGCCCCCCCATCCCATCCCATCCCATCCCTCATCCATGGGAATTCCTGGGAATAAAAACCCCCATCCCCCCATGGACCCCGAGCCCTGCTCTCAGCTGATCCCATGGCTGGGGCTCTTTTCCCTGCTTTTACATTCCCTGCCCTTGAATTCCCTCCCCACCAGAGCTCCGTGCACACAGGAGCATTTCTGATTATTGATTTAGCACAGGATTATTTCTGATTATTGATTTAGCACAGGATTATTTCTGATTGCTGATTTAGTATAGGAATATTTCTAATTGCTGATTTCTGTACAGGAACATTTCTGATTGCTGATTTAGCACAGGAGCATTTCTGGTTGCTGATTTCTGCACAGGATTATTTCTGATTATTGATTTCTGTACAGAAGCATTTCTGATTGCTCAGATAATTCTGATTGCTCAAATCCAGCAGAGAGGGGTCACAGCATCCCAGAAGGGACCCCAGAGCCCCCCCAGTGCCACCCCTGCCATGGCAGGGACACCTCCCACTGTCCCAGGGTGTCCCAATGTCCAACCTGGCCTTGGGCACTGCCAGGGATCCAGGGGCAGCCACAGCTGCTCTGGGAATTCCAGCCCAGCCAGGAATTCCTGCCCAAATCCCATCCATCCCTTTTCTCTGGGAATCCATTCCCTGTGTGCTGTCCCTCCCTGCCTTGTCCCCAGTCCCTCTCCAGCTCTCCTTGAGCCCTTTCAGGCCCTGGAAAGGATTTTAACCTTTGTGCCACCTTTACACTCCAAGTGCTCCCTACCAACAGCAAACCAACCTCCTGCACATTTCCTACTCAGATTTTCCCTGGATTTCCTTGGCTCTGCTCTCAGCCTTGTCCTGCCTGTCCCCTGTCCCCTGCCAGGGCTGGCACTGCCACCAGACACAGATGCAGACGTGGATGTGTTAAAAAATACCTTTGGAAAACGTGAAACCGGATTTGAGGATGTTCAACGGGAACAACTGGCTGAGAACTTTCCTGGTTTGCCATCACCTGGGCAGGAACTGTGAGCTGGCACTGGGAAAATGGGAAATTATTTTGGGTAGAGGGTCCTGGAGGCTCCTCTGGGTGTGCAGCTCCCCAGAGAGAGAAGATTTGGGAATTTCAGAGCAGTGGAACATCCCCAGCCTGTGGCTGCACCCTTGGCTGGGGGATTTTGGGTGGGAATGGTGCAGGTGACCCTTGAGCTGTTCCCTCAGCCCCTGGCCATTGCTCCAGGGCACTGGGATCCCCTGGGAACACCTGCAGGGAGAGTTCCCCGTGTTTTCCCATTTTGCTGTCAGGGATAACCAGGCTGGAGCTCCCCCAAAGGAGCAGCTTGGGCACAGTTTGGGCTTTGGGATTCTCCAGGATTTGGACATGAGGGGTTGTCCCTGTGCTGGGAATTCTCCTCCCAGGCTGGCTCAGGGTCCCTGGGATGTGTCACCTCTGACACCTGCACCCATCCCTTTTTCCAGGATCCCAGTCGAGGATCCCAGAAAAACCTCACCCATGGGAATATCCCGAGCAGGGCCTGGAGCAGGGGGTGGGAAATACACAACAATGTCAATGGGGAATCTGAAATGAGAAATTAAAGAGTAAAATTAGCAGCAACAAAAGGAGTTTTTACTGCCACCATCACAACCTTCCTCCATCCGTGAGCCAAACCTGCCTGTCCTCGGTGTTCTCCTGCAGTGTGTGCACATGGAATCGAGGGAAGAGCCAAAGCAAAGGGAGTTCACCCACTCCAGAGGGGATTCTCCTATTCCAGAGTGGATTTACCCATTCCAGAGTGGATTTACCCATTCCAGAGGGAGTTATCCCATTCCAGAAGGAGTTATCCCATTCCAGAGGGAATTCATCCATTCCAGAGGGGATTCACCCATTCCAGAGGGATTCACCCATTCCAGAGGGAGTTATCCTATTCCAGAGGGAGTTCACCCATTCCAGAGGGAATTCTCTCACTCCAGAGGGTGTTCACCCATTCCAGAGGGAATTCATCCATTCCAGAGGGGATTCATCTATTCCAGAAAGGATTCACCCATTCCAGAAGGAATTCTCCCACTCCAGAGGGAATTCACCCATTCCAGATGAGAATTCTCCCACTCCAGAGGGAATTCACCCATTCCAGATGGGAATTCTCCCATTCCAGATGAGAATTCTCCCATTCCAGACAGGAATTCACCCATTCCAGATGGGAATTCACCCATTCCAGAGGGGATTCATCTATTCCAGAAGGGAATTCTCCCATTCCAGATGGGAATTCTCCCACTCCAGAGGGAATTCACCCACTCCAGAGGGAATTCTCCCACTCCAGAGGGAGCTCTCCCATTCCCACGTGGGTTCCTTGTCCCGAGGTCCCAGAGTTCCCATTGGAGAAGTCTCTCACCCTGTGTAGTGAATTATTCCTGATCCCTTATGGAGCCAGCTATACACACGGCATATGTACAGGTATTTTCATAAGGCATAGAATATCTTTTGCATTGAAAATAAACGAACATTATTAAATTTAATTTAATATATACTTTCTTTGAGGTGTTTATGAAAATATTTTTCTTCTCTATACTTTTCGTATGCGACATGATAGAAATATTTCATGGGAAGTACAGGTTAATATATTTCATCTTTATAAAGGCATATACAACTTTGAGGCAGTGTTTCTGATGGACAGCAGAATTCCTAACGGATTTGTATGTGCTTCTGTGTTTTGAAATCATATGAAATTGACTTTTAAGAAGGAACTTGGTTAAAAAAACGCACCAATGCACAGCCAGAGGGCTGACAAGTAAAACTAATACGGAGCCACATGAACAATATATTTATAGAGTTAATTCTTATATTTTTCTCCCGATGATTGGTACTAACATAGAGTATTATACATTTGGCACTACTGTTTGCCATTGGTCCAGCAATTGGCAAAAAAAAAAAAAAAAAAAAAAAAAAAAAAAAAAAAAAAAAAAAAAAAAAAGAAAAATTGGTTTTCCTATGTATAAATCTGTTTGAACATTAGATCTGGCTAGACATATTTACTATTTATAAAAAAATATTTAGACAGTAAGCTCACGTTGGATAACTAAGTCTACTGTGTTCTGGAAACTCTTCAGTAGGAGCACAGCCTTCTCGTGTTCCAGGTGTACAAAGCTGTGTCCATTGGCCTGCAGCAGGGAAAACACAAGGGAAGAGGCTTTAGTGGCTCGGTTTTTTTGGGGGGAAAAAATGGATATTTGGGAATTAAAAGCAAGGATTTCTCATGGGCACAAAGCACAGATTTTTCTTGTCCTCTGTGGGGTGGCTGCAGGGCAGGGCTGGGGGCTCCAGGGAATTCTTTAATTCCCACTGGAATCGTGCTGGGACTCCGGGGTCTGACCAGGACCTGCTTAAAGCTTTGATACAATAAAATCTATTTCGTGGAAATAAAAAGAGGAATTCAAATCCCAGGCTGGGAAAATTCCAAATGCGCCGAGAGCTGCGCTAAAACGAGGCCTTAATGGAATCCTGGAATTCTGCTCTGAGGGCTGGGAGGGACCCCAAGGATTTGGGAGGTGCAGAGGGGAGGGACAGGGGCTCAGGGCTGGGCTGGGAGATGGATCCTGTCACCAAAGGCACAGGCAGGGTAAGGGAAAATGAGCCTGGACAAATTCCAGAGAGGAGGATCTGGCTGGAAAATCTGGAATGAAGGAGATCAAGGGGGAACAGCCAGGGCTGCTCAGCATCTCTGGGAATGACTGGAACTGTGAGACCTCAGCAGGAAAAATTTGGTACCCCAAAAATCCCCAGGGTTGGGACACCCTTGGAGGGAAAAATTCCCCCACCAGACCCTCCCCTGGCCACCCTGGGGCCGTTCCCTCTCTTCCTGTCCCTGTTCCCAAATCCCAAATCCCCCTGGCTGTCCCCTCCTGTCAGGAGTTGTCACATTTCTGGGTGCTCTTAGGCACTTAACTTTTTTTTAAATTTATTATTTTAATTTTTTTTATAATGAGCTAAGCAGCTAATAGCTGCTATGAAGTCGTTTACTGTTAGAAGTGCATTCGTTTTTAAAGTAAAAGTTACAGGTGCTAAAGTTGATGTTAAGTTTTGGTATAAAGTGCTAAATAGAAGTAGAAACAAAGCAAAAACCAATGGTAAAAAGCAATGGTAAAATGCACTAGTTTTTGTTAATGTATATTTTTATATAGAAATTTTTCAACAAGTTAAAACCCAAAGTTGGATTATTATTTTTTAAATTATTAGAATTTTAGTTTTTTTAGCACTTCAGGCTATGTATAAACTACATATATGGTTTATTTTATTTTATTTTATTTTATTTAAAAAAATGTAAGCAATATTTTTACTCTAGCTTCATGATGTTCAAAACCACGTTTTTGGAGTTTCTTTACAGAAACACAAATATTTAGGAAAATGATTTTTACCTTTGTACTATTGTTTTGGTATTTGAGACTTTCATTTACCAAAAGCACTTAAAACTTATTTTACTTATTTATTTCCTTCTTCGCTTATACTCAAACCTAAACTTTTATTTATTTTATTTTTTTTTTTTAATGTGTGAGTGGCTCAACATCAATTCATCCAAAAAATCCAAACCAGGAACCCGTGGCAAGAAATGCTTTGGGGTGGGAACGAATCCCCTAAAAGCAGAGCTGGCAGCTCAGTGCTGCTGCCCAAACGCCACCCCCCAGGAATTTTTTGGGGTGTTTTTTTTTTTTTTTTTGACCTCAGGAATCCCAAGGAAATCCCAAAATCCTACCTGGAGGATTTTGTCTCCGGGCTGGAGCAGGCTGGAGGCGGGGCCGTCAGGCTGAACCCTAGTAACAAAGATACCCTATAAGTCAGAAGTAACACAGGTTAGGATGCTTGCTCCAAGAACTACATCCCAAAAAAATAAAAAAAACCAAAAAAAACAACAAAAAAACCTCCCTAACTGAGGGTTCTGGGTACCCTGCAGGTTTGGGTTGACACCAAACTCTTTTGTTCTGTTTGCAGTTTGGGGTTGGAGCAGCTCTCTGGTAATGATTGTGGGGAATTTTGAAACTAAAATCCCACACTGCGAAGGGTGAACGGGGTAAGAGTGACAGGTTATCAGCAGGGTAATTAAAATGGAGCAAGTGTTAATTATTAGAAAAACGTGTATCATAATCTGGACAGCAATCTTTGCTTCCTCTAAGAGACACAGCTTTAATTAATTAATGAATTTCCAAATTGATTGATGTTCTCCGTATTTGTGGAAGTTCTCGCTGTCCCTGCAACACGAATCCAGAATTATCCCAGCACCTCAACTCCAGGAATGTGTTCAAGGCCTCCTTTTCCAGCAAACTCCAGTCAGTTCCAGGGCACCCAACACGAATCCATGGCACCCAACACGAATCCATGGCACCCAACACAAATCCAGGGCACCCAACACAAATTCATGGCACCCAACACAAATCCAGGGCACCCAACACGAATCCAGAGCACCCAACACGAATCCATGGCACCCAACACGAATCCAGAGCACCCAACACGAATCCAGAGCACCCAACACGAATCCAGGGCACCCAACACAAATCCAGGGCACCCAACACGAATCCAGAGCACCCAACACAAATTCAGGGCACCCAACACGAATCCAGAGCACCCAACACGAATCCAGGGCACCCAACACGAATCCATGGCTGCAGGAGTCCAATCCTACAGCCCTGGGAGTTGGGGCTCACCCCACGCTGGAGTTTTTGAGGCTTCCCTCGATTTCAGATGGATTGATCTCAAATGTGCAATTCCCAAAATGAGCCCTGAGCACCACCAGGTGTCAGTTTTGACTCCCAGCACAGGAGAAAGCTGCTGCCACGGGGTCTGGAAGGATCCAGGGGTTTCCAGGCTGCTTTTATTTGGCACAGCAGCTACAAACCCTGGAATTTCAGGCTCCAGGGGTGATCTTGTACTTTAGAGTTCCCTCTGATTAATTTAGTGAAAGTTTAATTGAGGTCTGAGGCGACTCTTAAAAAGTGAGAGAGAGAATTCTCCAGAAAACAGCCCCAAAAAATTATCTTATCCAGGGAATATGGGCCTGATTGGGATTGATGCTTGATTCCCTCATCTTCTTTAACTGGGGGGAAAAAGCAAACAACAATCTGCTAAAACAAACAAAAAAAAAAAAAAAAAAAAAAAAAAAAAAAAAAGAAAAAAACCCCAAAGCCAAATATGGGGGGGAAAAAAAATCTTTCAATTCCACCAACAGAGAGGCACAAACATCCCCTCGTGTTCTCTGCTGTGACCTCTCAAATAAGGAGCAGGGAGAGAGGAATTTCAAACTTACCTTGTCAGAAGGTTTGAATGGATTTCCTTGTCCACTGATTCCACCACTGATACTAAACCCCAGGCCGGGATTCTTCTCTATCCTCACACAAAACTGGGCAGGGAAAAGAGGGATGGATGTCAGCACTGAGCCCTGCCCCAGCACCTCCCCTCCTTCCCTCACATCCCATTTCCCGGGATGGGCTGAGCCCCCACACTCCAGGGAGTGGGAAAAGCCACTGGGATATTGCTGTGAGCTGGGAGAACTGGCAGGATTTCCCCACGCTGCAGTGAAACCACAACATTCCCTGTGCTTCACAGATTTCTGCATGGATTTTAATGTTCTCTTCCCAAGGAGGAAGAAACTCTTTAGATTTGTGGAAGAGAAGTTCACCCTGGCCAAGCTTTTCACTTAAACATTGGGATAAACCCATCAGTGAGGCTTCATCTGGTGCAGTTTTATTTTCCCAGCAGCCCTGGGACAAAGCCAAGGGATAAAATCCTCTGGGATCTCTGGAGCAGTGCTGGGATGTGCCAGCCTGCACGGAGCTGCCACCCCTCCTGCCACAGGAATCTGTGCTGAGCCCCCTCTTTCAGTCAGGGAGGCTCCAAAGAGCGTTGGGGAATTGGATGTGAAATAAAAATGAGCTCTGAGAGATTCCTGGCCGTGCCCTGAGCTGGTGTGAGCAGGGACATGGGACAGGATCTGCTCCTGGGGCTCCACCACAGGAACAGGGGTTAGGGATGCACCTCGTGCTCCCCCAGTCCAACCAGAGCTCTCCCAGTCCAACCAGAGCTCCCCCAGTCCAACCAGAGCTCCCCCAGTCCAACCAGAGCTCTCCCAGTCCGACCAGAACTCTCCCAGTCCAACCAAAGCTCCCCCAGTCCAACCAGAGCCCTCCCAGTCCAACCAAAGCTCTCCCAGTCTGACCAAAGCTCTCCCAGTCTAACCAGAGCTCTCCCAGTCCAACCAAAGCTCTCCCAGTCTAACCAGAGCTCCCAGTCCAATCAGAACTCTCCCAGTTCAACCAGAACTCTCCCAGTCCAACCAGAGCTCTCCCAGTCTGACCAGAGCTCTCCCAGTCTGACCAGAGCTCTCCCAGTCCAACCAAAGCTCTCCCAGTCTGACCAGAGCTCCCCCAGCCCAACCAGAGCTCTCCCAGTCCAACCAGAACTCTCCCAGTCCAACCAGAGCTCTCCCAGCCCGGCTCCCCAGTCCTGGTGACACTCGGACACTCCTGGAGCTCGGCTGTCCCGGAGCTGTCCCCGTGCCTCACCTGCTCCTGGTAGGCGTCGGTGCTGCGCTGGCCCTTGGTCTGGATGAGGCACCGCTGGGGCTGGGGGGCCCGGGAGCTCTGGGACGCCGGGATCTGGATGGGCAGGGGGGGCTGGTACTGCTGGATGGTGACTTTGTTCATGCTGCCCTCGTACTGCTGCTGCTGCTCCCGGCTGCGGTGCTGCAGGCTCTGCGATCCCATCAGCGTCTGGATGTGGCTACCTGCCTGTGGGCGAGCATCCCGTCAGCGCCAGTAGCCCCTGCAGCCCCCAGGGCCGCCTGCAGAGCGGCCCTGCCCCGCCACAGCCTCCGGAGCTGCGAAAAACAGGATCCTGACGCTTCTC